CCTAAAAGGTCAATCTAGGGAATTTTTAGGTTCTTAACCTACTTTTTAAGGTTCCAAAATTCTTGTGACTCTTCAGACACCATTCACTCTTCACAAATTTTACTGTAAGATTATGTTTTTGAAAGAAGTCTCTTATGTTCACCAAGGTTGCATTAAAAAAAAAAAAAAAACAGTAAAAATGAATATTGGGAAATATTTCAATTTATAACTATTTTATTAGATTTTGAAATTATTAATAGAGAACAATAATAATGGCAATAAGCTGATTGCTATTAATATCATTTTTCTTTTTATTATTTTCAAAGTTGACACAACATGGTTGTGCTGCCTAATATTTTTGTGTAAACTTTGATACTTTTTTTTTAGGATTCTCTGATGAATAGAAGGTTCAAAATAACAGATTATTTGATTTTGTATACCAATGTACAAAGCTTTGCTGTATCTTTTGAACAGTACTGTGTATATATGTATAATAACAACATCCAACATTTGTATGTGTGATATCTAATGCTTTTGGAATATTGGAATATATAATTAGAAAAACTAATTGTTTTGTCTTTCTAAAGCTAATTTCATATATTGTGTTTTATGTAATTGATATTTTATGATGGATTTTCATTGAACAAGGGTAAAACAATAAAATGTATGCATAAGTCAAAAACAGTTTTGATGAAGGCATAAAAAGTTTCCAAAACAGTTTTAAATATATAAATATAAAAAAGGGGTTACACTTTATTTTAAGGTGTCCTTGTTACAGTGTAATTATACATTTAAGTACTGAGTAATATTAATTAACTACATGGACTTACTATATGGTTAGGGTTAGGATTTGGGTTTGGCTTTGGGTTACTTGCATGTAATTATGCATAATTAATTGTTATTCTAATAGTAAGTACATGTAACATGTGTAACAGGGACACCTTAAAATAAAGTGTTACCAAAAAGGGTATATCAAGGTATGTCAAGCCCTGGTAAGTAGTGCCCTAAGTTGAAGAAATATATTCCCTAAATAATTTGCAGTTCATATAAATTTCCTACAACCCCATCTGCAGTTCCGGTGACCCCATTTTGGTTTGTGACCCAAGGTTGAGAACCTTGGGCCTAAAGCCACAAAGACTATGACAGATTGCAGCTCTCAGATATTTAAGCGACTCCCTTATGAACACAGGATAAAGTCATGATCGCAGGGCTCCCGCTTCACGCTCACCACAACGCAACGGTGCATCAATCACCTGAACTTATGGGCCATATTATACAAACAGAGATCTCTGCACTCCTGGGCCAAGCTATCAGAGGACAGCCCAGCTCTCTGGCTCTCAGCACCTCCATACAATTTCTGTTTGAAGATTAATGTTCTTGCAGCGAGTGGGTTCAGGGACGAGAGAACAAGGAGAGGAGGGAAACAAACAGCAAACAGAGTGTGCAAGCGAGAGGGGATACAGAATAACTTTGCTGCCTGTTTAGAAGCTGATGATGATATTCCCTAAATGTTCAGTCAATGTCAAGAGAGCAAAGACAGCCTAAAGGCAATGACCCTGCAGAGTGGGTGAATGTCAAAGAGAGGATATAGAGGGCACATTGGTGAGAGTGTTATGAGACTCCAAACTGGTAACAAACCCTCAGTGTAGAAGTAAATTCACACAGCATTTTTATTTCACAAGTTTTATTTTAACCTTATTATGATTTTTCACCTTCATCATTTAGCATCATTTAATGTCAAATGCGTCAAATAAATAAATATAAAAAAAATATTTAGAAAAATATTTTATATCAGCTACACAATAAACAACACCACCCTCTGAGACTGAATATCTGACAGCTATACGTAAGCAAACTGACTGCAGAGGTGCTAAATCAATAGTGAAAAAATAATGAGTCTGAATAGAACAGAGGAAGTCTCTATGGGAAGCGACTTTTGCCCCCAAACATTACATATCTGGGACATTTTTATCACTTTCATTGATACTGGTTAATTTCTAGTCCTGCCGTGTACTTAATAAAGCTTCATGGAGCACAAATAGCCTGAGATTTAATTTAAAATCATGCATTTATCATTAAAGAGACCATAAGAGTCAGATAATGCCTGCTGTGTTTTTGCTAGGAAAGCGGATCTGCTATATTTAGAATCAGGTTCTTCAATTTCTAAAGGCATATCTGAACATTAATACAGCATTTCCAAGCTGAAAAGACCAGGATATGTTTTATACAACAGACAGTTCAGATTCTTCGCACCAGTGAATGAATGAGGAAAACTTAGGGTATGTTTACACAACAACTATGTACTAAAAATGGAAAAGTTTTGTGTATAGACGACAAAGATGTGAAAATGATCCCCATTCACACAGATCTGCGAAAACGACTGAAAACACTGCATAATGCATGCCAGGCCTGTAGTTGGCAATGGTACTTTGTAAAGAAACACTACACTTCTGCGCACATTTCTATAGACTGAACACGTAATACGCATGTGCATGACGTCCCCGTTTTCACAAATTCACGTTTTGCTGTTTACACGGAGATGATAACTTGCGCTTTGAAACCTGTTTTCAAAAGTTTGAATGACCAAAATGGCTAAAACGCATTAAACGTTTTCCGTTTTTAGTTGACCAACAGTGTTGTTTAAACACCCCTAAATTAGGAAACCCAGAGTTGAGCTGGAGTGGAATGATTGTATAAAATAAAATAAAATAAAATTGTCACGATCACCAGCTGGAGTGCCCATCATAACCACCAGAGGGCACTCCATCCCATACCTCTGTTACTCAGTCTTGGACTTCATTTCCCATAATCCTTTGCCCCGACTCATCAGCACTCATTGTTTGCACCTGTGTCTCGTTAACCCTGTCTGCTCACCCTGTTTAAGCCCAGTTCATTTTGTCATTCATGGCGAAGTCTTGCATGTGTCACAGCTGCAGCCTTTTATTCTGGTTCTTTTGTGTTTTGTTTTCCTGGTTCTTGATATTCTGCCTGTTTATCTGGATTACTCTGTTTGCCTCAGCCCTGAATTCGGTCATTGTTTGGACTGCTTATTGTGTTTGACCTCATGCCTGTTTTGACTATGATTGTGGATTATCTCTCTAATAAACTACTGCACTTGGATCCTCAGCCTTCATGTCTCCGTGCAGTTTTGTGACAAATTTTATGAACCAGGGTCAAAGAACACTCCATTTATTAGAATGCCTATTGGTTTTCTCTTTACTGTAATTCATAAATATGAGCCAATTATCCAAATCTGAATTTTGCCAAATCCTGTCAAATCAACACTAACCCACATAAAACAGCCACAATCAGTAGAAAAAAAAAAAAGTTTCAGTATTTCTTTGCTGCCTGTTAGTAATACAGGGAAACCATGTGTGCGGTTGTTGCTTTCTCCGTTTTCCTTTGCACAGTAAAGCTGTGATCTGCCGTAGTGAGGGAGAGCATCTACTTCTTCTGGCTTTAGGGGTGGTTGCTTCTGTTCTGATCTTACAGCTAGTTTGAGTCAGGTAGCTCTTTTTATACACACACAAACATAAACTCTGCCTTGCATACCCTGGAGTGGAAAAAAATCCCTGACAAGGGAAGAGGATTCACTGGAAAACACCAGAAAGCACAGGGACTCCAGAAACCCCTGTGGCTGCATTGAGATAGAGCAGTAATTGATGGAGGCCCTGAGCCTGGCGGGCAGCCGGCCCCAGAATGCAGCCTGCTGTCTTTTGAAATGTGATGGTGAAACTGAGCACCAACTGAGAACGAAAACACAAGACTGCAGGATTAGTGCAATGGGGTTTTTCTGCATAAATGTGCATGAGTTACTGTGATGTACAGTACCATGCATTATATATATATGTTTAAACTGAACCAGAACTATCTGGAAATTGTTTCTCAATCCAATCCATTCATGTATTTGATCAAAAACACAGTAAACAATAATATTATTGCAATTTAAAACAATAACTTATTTTAAAATATATTTTATTCCTGTGATGGAAAAGCTGATTTTCAGCAGACATTGATTCAGTCTTCAGTGTCACATGATCCTTCACAAGTCATTTCAATATGCAGATGGTGCTTAAGTTATGTATGTATGTATGTATGTATTAATTTTCAATGTTGAAAACTGTGCTACTTTTTTCCCCCAGGATTCTTTGATGTATAGAAAGTTCAAAAGAGCAGCATCAACATAGGTAATTGTACTTTTTTGGGAGGTAGGTGTAACACTTTGGGTCTCGTAGAGTCTAAAATGGAGTCTAATAGGTTTTGGGATATAAGTGTAACTTAATTTTCAAAAATCAAATGAAAGATACAAGAGTGAAATCTCAGGAAACAAAACACTGTGAATTAAAAATGCACATAAAAATATACTTAAAAAATGAAAAAAATAAACAATAAAGGATTTAACTTTAGAAGAAATGATGACCTTTATAGAAAATACCTGGACACAATTAGGGAAGCCAGACAAAAGATAAGACACCTGAAACAAAACCTACATAACTGTAACAGCTGGTGTAAGATTTTAGTTTTCTTCCAATTTAATCTCTGAATATATTGCAATCCATAAAAATAAAAAAAATGGAAGAAAATAAATCTAGGCCCAAAATCCCTTCAGGGTGTAATTTACTAAAATGCCATTTAGGTAATTAAGTAAAAGCAACTACAATTTATTTTATGTGTGCCAGCAACTTATTAACAATGATGAATTCTGAAATTGTCAACACAAAGAGTCTTTTCCTTATTCAAATTCGATTAACTACTTTCATGTAAATGAACAGATGGCAGTTAGGATGCCAAAGAAGTTCCAAAAATAAATAAATACAAATAAAAATAAAAAAATAAGGTTTTTAGAGCAACACTGTAGGAGTTCCACAAATGGAAATATTGTAGTATCTCAAATAATAAATGGAGAATAGATGAATGTATGAAAAACACATCAGCTGTAAATGAAAAGGCCCGCTGTGAAAAGAGAGAGTGTGAATTCAGGTGACATGTCCGTAAAAATCTAGTTTAAAAATGCCACTCACCCACAGTGAGCTGTCCTGTCAGCTGGCCAAGGTTATTTCGTGCATTCACCGTCACATTGCGGTCTGACTGTAAGACCAGAGGACTGTCCTGAAACAAACACAGCAAAGACAGAAACTGATTATAGGATCCTGTATAATAAAAGAAAAAATAAGACAGGAAGAAGGAAAAAGAAACAGAGCACAGTGAAACTGATCTTACAACCTCGCATCTCATTCACAACATTGCAGTTTGGTTGAGGTTAGGTAGGGTTGTTAGGTACATGTTAGAACATACCTAACGTAATAATAATAATAATAATAATAATAATAATAATAATAATAAAAATGCAACCAAAATAAAACATTATGAAAATAAGTAGTCTTTCATGTATGCTCTAGCATTAAAACTTTCTTCAAGAAGCTCCAAAACGTCATTATTTCATTACAAAAAAATAAAAATTTAAAAATTCAAATTCAAATTAATAAATAAAAATAAAATTGCAATGTCTGTGGGACATTTTAGGTAAGCATTCAAATTATGTATTCAGAACACCTTAATTAGAAAAAAAGAGTATATATATATATAAAAAAAAACTTTAATGGCCAAAAATGTAAACAAAATTACATTTTCAAGAAATTGTTAAGAAATACCAATTGTTAAGTACCATGAATGATTGTGAAGAAAGAACACTTTCCTTTGAAAGATAATTTTGATGACTGACATATGTTGTACCAGGGGACCAGCTAGCAACATCATAACAATATTTCTGCAATGATGTGAAAATATGTATTCATGACAGTAAAACGTCAACATCTGTCATGTTAAGTTCATACTGTAGGATAAAAATCTCAACTTTTACATTATTAGCTGCTGAGGATGAGCTGATGGGAGCCATGAAAGAAAATGAGATAAGGGAGACAGAACTGGCAATAACATTTACATTTCAAAGGCATCACTTTGAAAAATGTGAGAAATGACCACTTGTGATTTCGAGGGGAGGGTTTTTGATTTCATGACATTTCCATGGTGCTGTTAAGATGTTGATAATAGATGTAAACAAGGTGTAGATAAAATATGGAAAATAATTTAAAATATATATATATATATGTGATGTTAATGTGTTCAATGTGATGCTATATGTAATATCTGAACTGTCTCGTGTGTGTATGTGTGTGTGTGTGTGTGTGTGTGTGTGTGTGTGTATGTGCATGGATGAATGCACTCTGGCTGGCTGGGTGTGTGTCTGTGTGTGTTCATGCATGCAGGGGTGCATGCTGTGGATCACTGGATTCAGTGACTTCTTGTTCTGTGCAACTTTGATCCTAATAACCTATACATCCTCTTCCACAACAGAACCTCTGCTGTGGCATAAATCAAACAAAAGCACTGCACAAACACATGCCATACGATGCATCTTAACTCCGGTCACATTCATGAATGCATTCAATTGTGAAATCAATCCATCATATTTAAGTCTGTATATTATTTAGAGTGTGTTTGTGTGTTACTTTTATAAGCTGATCTGAAGCTCAATGTCTTTTAATGCTTAAGAATCTGAGCATGAGAATTCAGCTCTTAGATTAGCTTCAAAGCACAGCGCTCCCTTTTGACATTGATCGACCTGCCAGCCAACCAGATCAATATATCGACAGTGAAGTACAGTGAAGGTCCACAAGAGCAGGTTCCCCATTTCTTCACTTTCTGTGTTTTTTTTTGTTGTTGTGTGGTTAGTGTGTGGCCGTATGTCTTCACTTGTGAACAAAAACACAGTATACACTTCACATCAGTCATAAACATGTAATGACAGAATGATTTTGATATTATAAAAACATGTGTGTGATGGCTTAATCCTGACTATTTTCATTGGTGTGTGTTTTACACTTCCAAATAAAATTTTGTCTACATACAGTATAACATTTCCCAAGCAAGTTATAGGCATTCATTACAATATTATTATAGATGCTTTTCAGTGAAAAACAGGTCTATTTAGTTATTTGTTTTGCTCAGAGGAACAAAATGCATAGGTTTCTTTTGACGCATCAATGCTGATCAAAATGTGATGACGTCACCACGTTCACTACGGAGCCTGTAATAATTTTAAATAATCCAGTATTATATAATAATACCTTTGTTACAGAGCATTGGTAATAATAATAATAATAATAATATTACAAAATAAAAAATTGAAAAATTAAATGTAAATTTTAAACAGGGCCGTCGCTAGTGGGGTGAAAAGTGGTGACGATTATAGGGGCCCACGGCTCAGGACTGTTAATGGGCCACTGCTGCATGTTGTCATGAAAGCTGATCATTGGCACATGCTTTTAAGCCTTGTCAATTAAAACAAGTAGATGTGACATAGCTCAACTAAGTACTTGCGCACTGTGTTCGGTGCGCACACCGAGAGCGCATCTCAGGGTGCTTTCACACCTGTAGATCGATTGCTTTGTTCCGAAACAGGGATTCAAATTATTACAATGTTGCTTTTTATTCTTGGTGCGGTTCGCTTTCAAACGGCAAAGTTTCTAAACGGACCAAATTTGTTAATACAAGTCACGCGCAAGTAAACTGTTCTCTCATTGGTCAAAGTTCCACGGGTTATTTTCCGGGATTTCACTTATCTGTCAGGGTTGTCATCCATCAGGATGCAACGACAACAGCTTTGCGGGCTTATTGTTTGTTTTTTTTTGTAGCTGTCGTTATATTAATTTATCATTTTGAGCAGGAGTCCAGGATTGATGGGGAAAACATTTTTAAAATGCGCCTACTACGAAGAAGAGCAATAACCGAACCGCTACAGAGTTTGTTTTCAATCGAGCCGAGACCGCCTCGTTCAGGCGATCTCGGACCGATTGTTTTAGCACGGATCCGAGCGCGATTACCGCATTCACATATGCCCAAACGAACCGAGCTAAGGGGGGAAACGCGCCAGGTTCCGAAACAACGGGCCAGGTGTGAAAGCACCCTCAGATGCGTGAACACCGAATTGAATTCTACTTCGAGTCTTCTTGCAATTGAACAAACAAATACACCTCTATGGCATTTAAATAGTGTCAAATCTCGCGCACATAAAAAAAGACGCGCGCACATGATATGAGCGCACAGAACAGTATCCGCGCGAGGAAAATCATCCTCGCGAGGGAGCATTTCTGCACCGCGAGCGCACAGAAAAGTATCCGCGTGCAAAAATGCGCTCTCGCGAGAACGGCGCTGAGTAGCGCTCGCTCAACCATCTCTATATGCCCTCTCAACTGCTCAACCCCTGCTCGCTCGTCAAGTTGACTTTTGAGACTTTGGAGGCGGGGATCAAATGTCAGATTTCTCCGCTCCTGTGATTGGTCATTTTCAACACATTACCGCTTAAGTCAAGTCGTGACCTTAGGAATATTTTTTTTATTTTTTATTCAATAATTAGTCATGTATAAACAACACGGCAACACCAATACCTATTTGCATTAGAATATAAAAACAGGTATGAAACATGAAACATAAGGAATAGTCTAGTCATTTCAATAATTGAGAATCAATTAACAATACAAATCTGTTTTTGACCATTATTTATTCATATCACACATTTAAGCCGATCCTTCAAAAACAGGGTAAGAGCTGACCAAGGGGTGGAGAACGTGGACATCGCCAGGTTTATGTTTACTGTCCGTGGCAATGATCGGGGAAGCTTCATCGGGGATGTGCTGTAATACTATCGAAAAAAATAATGATCCCAAAACTTAGGCTATTATTATGTTTTTGAAAGATCAGCTTAAATGTGTGATATGAATAAATAATGGTCAAAAATGGATTTGAATTTTAAATTGATTCATATATATATATATACTGTATTTATATTCAAATTATTCATGTAAATTAAACAGATTTTAACATTGATTATACTGATAATTTAAAATATATTACAAACATTTGAAAGCTACATGGTAATGTCTTAATGTATTATTTAACACACCTACACACACACTAATCAAATTATCATTTAAATTTATTATAATTCTTTAAATATATTTATACTTTAAAACATTGTAGTCCTCGAATATTTTTTTTAATTAAGTAAATATCGAAAAAGAGTTCTGAAAGATCTCTGAGTTCTGCAAAAACTCCCTTTATAATCAAAGAAGCTAAACTTCATAAAGAATTGCTTATTTACATTGTGTCTGCACTTTCTGTCGATATAACAAGAGGATTTAAAGGATGTCACAAAAGGCACAGAAAGAAAAAAACCGAGTCATTTATCCATGCACAGTACTTTCAGTCGCACGTCAATGACAGAAGCCAACTGTTTTGTATTACAGTTAGGAGTACTTAGTTGATCGCTTCAACAATAGAAGCAGTTTGCAGCTGCAGTATCTGCACTTGCTGCAATGTATAATTAGATCCAGATGATGTCAATCTAATGGAGTAAAGCACTATCTTCTCTAATTACCTCAGAAACACCCCTCTTCCCAACACTACACGTTCTGCCATCAGCTGTGGGATGTTTAAAGCTGAGATGGACAGAGTTATTGTTTTTGATCATGGGTAAATAAGCAGTGCAGAAGATGAGGTTCATAAAAGGGCACATTCAAATCAAAAGTGAGCAATGAAAGGGCAGTGCAGGTTTATGCCTATGATAAAGCCATAAAAGCAAGCTTTATATTTTAATTTTAATTGCTCTACCTTGACATAGACTCAGCATTCAACAGTATGTCGAATGCTCCTTTTATCTAAACCCAACATGACCGGCTTGTGAAATTAGTCACCTGGCGGCTTAGAAGCTGACACATGCAAATAACCTCATAGCTATTTACATGAAAATAAGCCACTTCAGTTAGAGTGTTGATCTTTATTTCCCTTCCAATCAAACAGATCCAAAATCTCTGTCCACGCCTCACCGCCTCATTCTTCTCCTTCCGTCTTTACACAATGCAAAGCAGGACACCGAATGAAGAGAGAGAATTTGTGTGAATGTCATTCAGGTATGACAATTCTGTGTTCCTCCCAGATGTCCACCTGTTCTTCATTATCTCTCTTTCATTGTTTTTCCTCTCGTGGATTTGTATTGTAAATTGAAACGCCATACACCTCATCAATTTAAACATTCAAGCACAAAAATACGC